TAGGAAACTCTTGAGAAAGAGGGACAGACAAGCAGGGTCTTCTGCTCACAGATACTGCCAGAAAGCGCCAGAACTCCTGCTGGAAGAGGTGTAGGGCAACAGCTTAGTCCAAAATGGTGGGTGAGATGCTCTCACAGATCATTTTTGCAAGAGCAGGACCCCGGCTGCTCCTCCAATGAGACCAGCTCACTCGTTGAACCAGCAGCTGGAAGGAGTTGTTTGGGTCTGTTTTTGTTGCTGGTTTTCTTTGCTGTGCAGTTTCTGCTCCAGCACATCAACCTGGGACTGCAGCCTGTGCACCAACTCCCATGCTATCCACTACTATTGTGAGGTTTGGGGCCACCAGGGAGCCGGCCCCCTTTGGGCAGGTGGAGCATCCCATCTGCACATGGGCTTTGCCCCCGCCCAACACTGGTACCAGTAACTGTCCACAGTATTGACACAGCCCTGGAAACAGCTGGCCTCTTCAGTATTGCATTAATCCACATCTGGTTGGCAAGTGTCTCCCTGCCATCACACAGGCAGCAGCAGTGTCCTGAGAAGATGTAAATCCCTCCATTCCCACATGGAGGCTGGCATATTGCTGCTCTACAAGAGGATCCTGAGGTGCCCTCTGGTCCTCTTCTAACCAGAGCAGCAAGCATAATAAGGCCTGGAGGGAGTCGCCCAGGGCTGTGAAGATAGATAGTCTGGTAGATGGTTCTGTAGGTGCTGCAGGCACACTGTCCATTCCAAGTGAGGAGGAAAGGCTGGTATACACGCTGCACAAAAAACTCTGAGACAGGGTCTCTGGAAATCCCCATGGCACACACTCTGCAGCTGGGCCTGCAGACATGCTTAGTACCACCTACTGCCAATACTAGAAACCATGCCACAAGCAGCTCTTAGGGAGTCCCACCTGGTTCACGTCTCTAAGTAGGGCAGCTTTCTTCTTTTGGTGGCTGCCGAGTCCTGGATGTGCACCATAGCATAGTTGCTAAAATGTCATAGCTAGTACAATAAAGCATGACATATAAATAATTAAATATGTAAGAACTAAAAAGAAAGGGATAAAATGGTCATTGTTGGCAGGTGACATAATCACATGGGTAGGAAGTC